CTGTGCGGCTTCTTGACGCCTCCGGTGGATGGGGCAGACTTGCGGGCGGCCTGAAAAGGAAAGGATCAGTAATGAAATCACCGAAAAATGGATTAAAATAATCAGGAAATGCTTTTACCTTGGTGGCGAGCTGCTTGCGAGGGGCCTTTCCTCCGGTAGACTTGCGGGCGGTCTGCTTCGTACGAGCCATGGCTTGCGAGTTTGACGAGTCTGGAAAAGAATAGTTTGTAAAAGGTAAGGATCTACGAAAAGGAAACAAGAGAATATGTAATCACATAAATACAATAGAGAAGGTAAATGAAAGGCTAGAAAGAATATGAGGTTCTCAAAAAAAAGTGAAAACAAAATGAAACGGCGGAAGGAAAATTGCAAATGAAGATCAAAAGAGCGCGAAATCTTGGAAAGCGGCAGATGTTAGGTCAGATACGGTATCTAGGGCACTGGATAATGATAACGAGTCCGTGCATTAATGACAGGATTCGCAGATTTTGAACGCTTTGAAACAAAAGCCTAAATAAAATCAGTTTTCGGTTCACGTTTTTTATGATCAAGGATGGGTAGCTTCATAACTGAACTTTCTAACCCTACTGACCCCAAAGTGCAAGAGATTTCGAAAGTTAGGTGCAAGAATTGAGGGTTTCGGCGCTAAAGATAGTCATATTGATCTATTTTGATAAAATTAAAGTTGGATTTAAAGAAATATAGTTTTGTAAGTCCTTTTAGTTCAAGCAGTCGCTAAAATTTCGGCCTACAATTCGATAAAAAAACCGCTGATCGTTTTAAAACTAACTTTTTAGTTTAAGGTAAGTAACGCTCGTTTCGAAAGTCGTCGTAATAACTAAAAGGTTTAGTTTCGAAAATGCTCTCGAATGAGCTCCCTCAAGCCTAGAGTATCGGAGAGCCCGGGGGGTCCCGCGGCGGCGCGCGGTAATTCGGCGCACCCTGGCTAGAGAGGACGATAAAGCTAGAGAGCGCCGAGAAGCAGAGTGAGTGGTAGATGGTGCACGGGGTATCACGTGACCCAGAGACGCAAAGACAGGGAGTCGGAGCAGGGTATTTGATGCGCAGGCGCTGCTTGGCTGTCCGCCACCGCACACACTTCTACGTAGGATGGAAAAATCGATGGGTCACACAGACACACAGACTTCCTCCCAAACGTCTCTAGGTAGCTTTTGGTAGCTTTGGAATGGGCGAGGGCGACTTGGCGGGCTTGGTTTTGGCGGGAAGTCGGGGCGTTTAGTTCGAACAACTGGGTTACGGTATGTCGGAGTGAAAATTTGGGAAAATCAGCGCATTAATGGAAGGGAAACTAAAATCACGCGGTAACGTAAAAAATTTCTTTAACAATCTTATAAGTCGCCACAAAGTCGACTTCGCTTACTGAAAACTCTCAGGGCTTATAAGCGGGTCTCAAAGCACAGTTTTGCAAGATTTTTAAGGTATCCTATTAACTTTTAGGGTATAGCATCGAGAAAATTAAAATTCCTAGTCCCAGACCGAAATCTTTAAACCCCTGCAACTTACAGTACCCCTGAAATTCCGAGCCAAAATTTACAAAGAACGTTCTAGAGGCTACAAGCTACAAGTTGCCCCCAAAAAACCAGAATTAATAACCTTAAAAATGGTAATTTACAGTAGAAGAATCCCAGTTGGGGGGGCGTGGTCGCTAAAAAGCGGGAACAGCCCCGGCTGGCCTGCTGGGCGAGTGGTACATCAACAGCCCAGAGAGAAGGGAGAGAGAGGGCGAGAGGGAGAGAGGTAGCAGAGAAAGAAGGTGACAACTGGGGAAAGGGCGAGAGAAAGCGTGTTGTGGAGAGAGGTCAGAGGAGGAACTGGACAAAGGAGAGAGTTGAGAGACTGGGTGTTGTCGAAAGAGGGCAGAGAAAGGAGCGAGAGAGCGCGTGTTGTGTAGAGAGGCTAGAGAAAGAACTAGGCAAGGGAGAGGGCGAGAGATCCCTTGTTCCGTAGAGAGCGCAGAGAAAAGCGAGCCTAGGAAATGGCGCGGGATTTCCCGCGCTCCCCGGCGTCGTGGTGCCCCCAGAAGGGTGCGCAGGTGCCCTGGGGGTATGCTTTCTATACTAAAAGGCTACGGTATCAAAAACTACATAAAAAACTTAATTACGGTAGTACTAATACCTCGACTGCGCCAACAACAGCCCAAAGAAAACTCAAAACTACCAAGATACCTCAAAATTTGTAGCAGCCCCTGCCTACAACCCGGAGCTCTGCGTGGCTACCCAGTAGTCTAGCCCAGCCCTAGTCTACCGTAACCCAGTAACCATGGAAGCGAGGGGGAATGCAAAAAAGACAGGAATGGGGAGGAATAATTTGCAAATGACGCCCCGAAGCACCCCATGCTAATCCGAAAAGTGGGCGGGGCCTAGGTATCGATTTTCGTTATATTACGAAAGCCACGCAAAACAGGTTCGATCATGTGACATAAATAGCGCCAATTTCGAAACTCAAAGATCGGGGCGTGGCTTTGGTGGAAGACGGGCGGCGCGTTTTCTAGCGCGGGCGCCTTTAGTGGCCCCTAAAAAGCGATCGATTGGGTCTTGTGTGGATTTTTCAAACTGGGTATACGGTAGGTGTCTAGAGGAGTCAAAGGTACTACTCTATCGATTTGACGAGAGCGTCATGAGACGATTTTTAGGCGTCATAAAGAGTTGGCAAGGCAAGGCAAATGCCGGGAAATGAAAGGCTGGACCCGGAAGTGATAGCGAAGGTATCTAAGCTTATTTTAATGACCGCATCAGGTTATAATTTAAAAGCTACAAGCTACAAACTCCAAAATGCACTATTGTAATCGTTTAAAACTACAAAATACAACCACGACGTCCTGGTGCGGGACGGGGTGAGTGAGTGCGTATGTGTCCGTCCGGTCCTGCTATCGATTCACAAGAGAGGGGGCTAGAGCCTAGAGAGAGCGACTTTTCAAGCGGGAGATATTTTTGAAAATTTGAATTGTATCCCTGTGTGGGTACGGTATCGCGGCGGGACCCCTGGAAGTTCCGGCGGGTCGATACCGTGCTTTTCGACTCGAAAAAGGCGATTTTTAGGCAAATTTTGGGGTTATTGATGGCATATACCTATTTTACAGGGTAAACCTAGAGATTAAGGTATTTTATGGTAATTCTAGGCTTAAATATATAGCACCAAGCCGAAATTTTTGGAGAATACGGTAAGAGCGTTGCGGAATCAGTCCCTTTAAAACCAAAACGTGAATTTAATATTTAACGTATATTACCGTAGTAAAACAATATCAAAAACAAGGTAAACTAGAGCTTTTCATGTATTTAAAGTCTCTAAAGCTGTTAAGACTTCAAAAAAAATGGTTTTTCGCTACAAAAACCTCAAAAGTCGTCTACATATCAGATTTTTAATTTTTAAAGGGACCGGCAAGTGCAAATCCATGGATTCTAAGCTGAATTAAACCTGCTAAACTCGCCTCGACTAGAGAATGGGGCTAGGAATTGTGGGGTGAGGGACGCAGACACCAAACGAGCAGCAACCGCTTGCCCGACCCGATTCACCCCTCCAATATATAGCCCCAGTTCTCTAGATGGGGTGCCCGCGCTGCGTGGCGCCCCTGGCCCGGGGCCAAGTTCTGCGTGGCGGCCCACTTTTTGAAAATGGTGGTGCCACGTGGTGTCCGATCGATTCTTGGGGTCGAACTGCAAGGAGTATTCCGGGGTACGGTAGATTTCTGAGGAGACGAGGAGCGTCGCCGGGCCTTGAAAAATTGTTGGGTGCTTTAGAGGGGGTTTCTATAGCTTGAGGAACCCCAGGTATCGCTTTAGCCTAGTGGCTAGAGGGCTAGAATGGTAAGGAATGGGTCCGGGTTCGAATCCGGGGGCTGAAATTGTTAAAAATTTGCATGATTTAGCCGTTAAAACTATTTTTTAACTATGAAAATGATTTTGAAAGGTATGGAAATTTTTATATCCCTAAAACTAAGTTTTTCAAAATTAAAAATGTACAGAAATTGTTTTATTCTTCAGTAATATTATACAAAATTGTGTAATAACCCTTCAATTGCGCAATACAAAGCTTATCAAGCCCAATTTCGAAATTCTGAAGCCTGCTTATCTGGTTTACTGGCGCCAAGCCACGCCCCTTTTTAGCGGGGCGCCAGTTGGCTCTAACAGCGCCCCCACCTCCTGCTCCCTCTTCGCCCTTCACACTCTCTCACCCCACGCCCACCCTGCACCTCCACCTCCTCCCCATTCTCTCTCCTCTCCCTGACCAGGGAGACTTGAACCCCCGGGAGTGGTCTAGAGGATAGTGGGCTGGGGCGCCGCGAAACGGTCCCTGGTTCGGATCCGGGAGCTGGAAAAGACGAAAATGAGAGTTTTTGTTTTTGCAAGTTGTTAGTTATCGATTAAATGCCTCAGATCTAAATTGAAATTAATGAATAGCTGTTCGGAAGCCGAGTAAAAATGGAAACAAAATTTGTGTTTCTATTAAAAAGTTTAATTTAAATTGAAAAAAGCGTCCAATATCCGGAAATATGGAAATTAAAATTATTACATTTCTAATGCACCTACCTATTCAATTGTAACAACATAGTAATAAAAGTCTATTAAAACCAGCCTGCAAGAATGACTGGTAAAAATGGCTAGAAATGAAATTTAGCAAACATCCGTAAGTAAAAAACATGATTTTTTTTACAACAATTAACTAACGACATCTAGTACAAAGTTTAACCTGGAAAACGGCAAACCGAATTTTTAAATTAATCAATTGGGTAATATCTTCGATTCGTTGTTTTTTTTTAATTTATCAGCAATAACAAGTATCGAACCACGAAGGAATTGCAACGGCACATAACAACTGGAATTGAAATGTAACAACGGAAATCTCAGCAAATTATTCTAGAATTAAGTTATACTCGTAAATATCCAAGATCGGGCTATACTCAAATACAACAAATTTTGAACCAGAACGCCGCTAAATAAGGGTAATAACAGCTAAAACAGTTATTGCTTTTTATTTTACTATTCCATGAGCTCAGCAAGTGCCGGGTGGTATCTGGCCATGTGATTCCGGAAAAGGCCGGCCTTCTGGAACGAGACGCAGCACGTCGGGCACCTAAAATTACAGATAACAGAAGTTAAAAAATATATAGGTACCATATAAAAATTAATTTAATCTAATACAACAAAATCAACGTCAAGAGCTCACTTGTAGCACTCCTCATCAGCTGCGTGGGCGTCGGCAACGTGCGTTCGCAGGCTGTCAAAATCCGAGAAGGGCTAAAAATTATATGGTTTTTTAAAACACAACTTTACCTTCTCGCACTCGGCGCAGATGCTGAACCATGGGACGCCATTTGTAAGCGCGTTGCCCTAACAATCATATTATTATGAAAAATTAATCTTTTACCTGCTTGTGCTCCCTGGCGTAATGGACACGCGTGTGCTCTCCATCCAAGCCAATGAATGCGCATTCTGGACATCTGAAAATGCAAGCCGTAGGCCAAATTTTCAAGTTATAATAATAGCTACTTTTTTCTATAACAAAAAAGCATTTTTTTTTTAAAAACATGATGAATTTCCTGAACAATAGTTTAAAAAAACGAATTTTTAAAAAGCCAAAAAATTTTTAGTTTTGATTGAAATCAGCCATTTATGGTCGACAACTCGGCCCTTTTTGTATGTTTTATCAAAATTTTTAACGTTTTTACGTTTATAAATAGGAAAAACCAGCTTAGAAACACTTTCTCTATTTATACCGGGAAAACTGGATTCCTAGAAAAAGGTATGCACCCCCCCCGGTTATGCAAAAGAACCAAATCTCTAATCGCAAAAAAGCCCCTACTTCGCGCCGGTTGAAATCCTCGGAAGATGCGAGACGTCGATCGGCTCCAACTCTGATATTTCGGGCAGCATTTTTTCGACCTAAAAATGATGAAAATACGGAGCGAACAGGCCTACACACCTCTTCCGCCGGGTCGCACTCCATGTCAAAGGCGGCCGTCCGGTCGCGTAACATGCCACCTCCGCGGGTCAGCAGCTAAAAACAAACAATATTCTCAAAAAAATAATTCTATCAGACTCACCTTTTTCTTGTATTCCACCTTCGGTGAGTGCAGCTGCTTGAGGATGGGGCCCTGGCCGAGCCACTCGAAAACGTCGCGCACGTTCTGAAAAAAGTATGCTTACATGAAACTGAAATTTACACTTAAAAAAAGCGTATTTTTAATCTGTTTTAGGTTTGCAAAAAGCAAGAAAAGAGCACGAAATTAAAATTTAAGTCATACCGTTGGGGAGGCCGGGGCCTTTTCCACCGGCACTGGCTTCTGCTTATTGTAAAAATCGAAGGCGCCCTCGTATTTCGAGTCGTTGTAGACACGGCGTCGGTAGAAAGCGTCAGTGTGCTGGCGGCGGAAGTGAAAGCGGAGCTCCTAAATTTGTAGAAATTATTTTTATTTAAGTTTAGAAAAGAGTCTCTGAGCTGTTTGCAATTTGCAATGCAACCAGAGATGGGAGAGCCATCCTGAGACCTCAAACTTGGGTAATTAAACCTTTTTTGCATTCTAAAAAACTAGCTACCTTTTAAGAGGAAAAACAATTCAGAAACTTCGAAAAGTGTTTGGAATTTTCACAATTTTGGTCGAAAATTCGATTTTTTTAGCGTTTTTGAAAAAAATAAAGTTTTGCGCTGATTATATCAAGTAGAAATCGACCGACCTCCTCGTATTTAAAAGTCAAATAACACGCGCTGCACGCGAACGGGCGCTTCGCGTCGATATAGGAGGCGAACGACTTTTCGACCGATAGATGGGGCATGTCCCGTTGGAATGTGTTGGTTTTCCTAAAAAAAATAGAAAATAAAAAAGACAAAACAACTCACGACAACGCGACCGCCTTCTCGAAGGCCCTTTTGTCGAAATGATGAGCTCGCACTAGGTGCCGAATTTGGTAGTATTCAACGCAGCTTCTTCGGAACGAGGTTGAAATCCTGCAATCATAAAGTTCGTGAAAATCCTAAAAATCACTCGCCTCTTTCCACAGCCAATCGGGCAAAGCGGTCTTTCCTGAAAATTTAAAAAAATAGCAAAAATTTAGAGGTCTAGAGAGCTCTTTAAAGACATAATACGAAAATTCTCACGTCTATAATTTCCTTGCGTCGTCGTTCTTTCCCATCTTCATATCGGTTACACGGATGCCTAGTTTTGAGGTCTTGCAACGCAGGGTATTGAACATCACATTTTCTACACGTTAACTAAAGCAAAAGCTTATTATCAGTAAAAAAAAACATTACAAACCAGTCCGTCTCCAAATTTCAGCTTGAACGGCCACTCCAAATGGATCGAGAGTTCAGTCCTAAAAATTTGGATAATTTTTGACGCTTAACCTTACTGAAAAACTCGAATAAATTCCTGTGCGGAATCCAGGTGGCCGTGTCGTCGAAGAATGTGGGCTATGTAACTTTCGAGCGGCATTTGGCCATGTTTGTCGCGCTTGATGTGGCCCTAAAATTGGAAAGTTTAAATTAACATCCTAAATCATAATTAATTCATAGTTTTTAAATGGCAAAACACCGATATTACGGCGTAAAGAGTAAAATTCACCTTGCAAAAATAGCAGGTAGATTTCTTGGCGTTGCGGGTGCAATTGGAAAAAACCGGCGATTCGAGGGCCCATTGGGAGGAGCGGAGCGCTTCTAGAAATACGAAATTTACAAGGTATTTCATTTGTTTATATTTTAAAATGGATTTTTCCTATTAAGGATTCGAAAATCACAAAATTTCACCTAAAACTATAAGAACCTAACCTGGATAATAATTTGGATCTCCGGTGGCGTTCAATTCCGATGTCGACCCAAGCTTGATCCCCGAGAGGCCGTACGAGCTCGTGGAGGTGGATTGGCGAGAGGAGTAGCCGGTAGAGGTATCGGAATCCTAAATCGTGACTTGAATTCAGCTATTATCGATATCTACAGCGTCTTGAAAGGGTTTTTAAGCAGTATTTTGCAAAAAAAAGCTGCCTCGTGTTTTGTAGACGTTGAAAATGTTTTTCTGTTACAAAACCAACCTCAAAACAATCCAATTCCGGCGTGATCGCGCGCTTGGCAATATTGTAAGCAGATTCCATCGTAGCATCAAGATCTAAACAGTTCTCAGAACAAATAACCTAAAATTACCTTCGGGCTCCGACTTCCATTTCCTTGGCGTCAAGGTATCCGCTTTATTCGGCATGACGAGCAGCTCGTTATGCATCAAAGACAGCAGCGTCCGCTTCTGCGGGTACTTTTCATCCGAGAAACAAATATCGTAGCGCTGCTGCTCAGGTCTAAGGGAGGAAATGAAGATCCAAGATCAAACTAAAAAGCTAAAAACTTTAAAACTTACAAGCTCTCAAACGTCGTCGAACCTCCGGAGAAATCTCCAAAATGAGAGTGCACTCTCGCCAAATGACTTTCGATCCCATCGGCACAATCAACCCGCGAACAAAAACGGCATCTAAAATTTTTATTTTTCGTTTTTGAAATCAGAAACATACGCCGAATCCGTTGCATGCGCTGCTAAATGGGCAAACCGGAAGGTGGCCGTCTTTCCGATGAATGAACAGAGCTAAATAAAAATATTGACGACATCAAGATGTTATACTCTACCTTGCACTCCGTCCTAGCTGGCCTTACCGGCATGACCAGCTGGCTTTCCGATTCCACCTTCTCCCTAGGGAAAACATTATAGCTAACAACTTCTACCTACTTTTTAATAGGCGCCCGACGGATATTTTCGCGTAGACGCGCCATTGCTTCCCTCCGCAATTGCCGCTCCGCTTCAGAAACGGGCGTTTTCTGAAAAAGATCTTAACAACGTTGAAACGCTTCTACCCGTGACTTAGCCGAGTCCAGGAGGCCAGGAGAGCCGTTTTTCAAGCGCCCAGGCGCCATTGTAAATTTTCTAAACGATACAGTTAGCTATATTTAGCGTTTTTCAAAGTTTAAAAAAGGAAATGAAAAACGAAAACTGGCGAAAACCCAAGCCTTCACATATGGAAGGCAAGCGCAGAGTAGCGTCGTTGGGTGGAGTGTGGCGTACCCATTTGGCTCAACGTTGAAAAAATTCGTGAAAAGCTACAAAAATTCGATGGCAACCCGTATTTAACGCCCTTTCGCGCCCCTTCACGCCCTCCTGTAAATAACGCCCCCTGTATTTCGCGCCCCCTGTATTTAACGCTCTCCTGTAAATAACGCCCTGCAAAACGAGCTTTTTCCTGTAAATAACGCCCTTTTCGTGGTCATATGGAGGGCGTTAAATACAGAAGGGCGTTAAATACAGGGGGCGTTATTTACAGGGGGCGCGAAATACAGGAGGGCGCGAAAGGGCGTGAAGGGGCGTTAAATACGGGTTGCCAAATTCGATAAAGAGTACTAAAATGGATTGCTGAACTAATAAAAAGGTCAACATTTGAAAAATCGGATTAGAGCTATTCAGAAATACCGTCAATTGTCTCGCCTTTTTCATAACATCGGCCAAAATACGATCCGGAGTAAAAAATCTGTAATATTGTATGTTTCTAATTATTACGTTTGCAGGAATTAAAGGAATAGCGCAAGCAGCAGTCCACGTGTTACGTGGATTCGCGGAACTTTGCCAGATTTAGCTGGGTTTGCGCATAGCAACATCCTTATCAGCAAATCTGCGCATTAATGAGAGGATTCGAGGTTCGATCCGCTATTCTTATTTCAACAGGCTCGCTATGTTTTTTTCATCTGTCGACGGCAATCGCAAAGCCGCTGTGATCGCTCGGGGGCCCCCGAAATGTCGCGCCGACGCTTCTTTGCGTTCCGAAATGCGCTGGATGACGGGTTGTTTGCTCGAACCGGCGGATCAAACGGAAGGCTAAACAGATCCGTTAGGCCGCCAGCCGATTTTTCTGGAATTTGCTTGTTTTTTGGGTTTTAGATTATTTTTTATGCTCGTGGTCATCGTAACTAGATGATCAACGTCGCTTAATTTCAGAATACTGAAAACTTTTAAAACGTTCTGGAAAGTCTAAAATTTTTTTGCGGTAATTTGTAGGTCTAAAATACTAAAAAAAACACGAACCATCCATTATTTAACCGTGAAAAGCCCGCAGCTTTTTTTGGACACCCATAGCTACTCGTCACTTTCTTTGTTTTAAAAATTGAAAATTCAAGGTTGAAATTTTCTAGCGAAATCTTATGCTTATGCAGCGCCGACGTTCACAAAACATAGAGAAACGTTTTCAACAAGGATTTTGGGATTTAAAAATAGCCCAAAAATTGGCTTCACTGCCGAATGCGACACATGTTTCGTATCGCGACTGTAATGCTTCTTCTCCTCACATGGGTGATCCCTATGTATTTGGTTGACCACTTTCACCTGGCGCTTTTTGTAGAATTACTGAAGCCCGCAGCGAATGAGAGTAGTTTAGTACGAGTATTTTTAATTTTTCGGACAGTTTGGTTATACCTGACGACTATAATTTAACAAGTAAAGGTTTTTCTAATATAACCTTTTTTTGTGCGATTCTTACAGTTTTACAACAGGCTTTTCCAAAACGGAAAATCTCGAAACGATTAAAATACGTTTATTAGACGCCAAATTTTACAGTATACTTGTTTCCAAACTTTTATTTATTAAAAATACACTAAAAACATTAAAGTTCCCGAAAGTAGCCCCCTCGATTCAGGTTTTCCACGATGTATCCCGTCCCTTCAATGGCACAAAGTGGATTAGCGGGTCCATGCCTCAGCTACAGAATTGGTGTCCATTGTCCAGTCACGTACTGAATAACCGGATCTTACCATCTCCAATTCGTCAGTATACACCGACTATTCCAACATATACATAAAATGGCCCATTTCTGAAGGGAATCGAACGTCTTCTTTGAGGCAGAACTTTTCCGAAGTGTGTGATTAGGGTGCTCGATTTCTGGAGTCGAGGCCTTGACCGGAGACTAACCGCTTATTAGCGAGCGACACGAGGCCAGGCAACAGACCTCAAGTATTTTTTCGGGGTGTTCGACATTTCAAAGGATGTCATTTTCGCAGAAAACAGGTTTTTTTGGAGGTTAGGAATACGGTATTTTGTAAAATTCTGACTCATCCGAAGTCTATAGCCCCAGCTTTCTCTCTCTCTCTCATCCAATCCCTATGCCCTGAGCTTTCTCTCTCTCTCTCTCTCTCTCTCTCTCTCTCTCTTTCTCTCTCCCCTCCATCATCTCCAGAATAAGCGTTCGCCCCATCAACCTCCATATCTCCCATCCGCTGTCCGTCAAGAAATTATGCCAGGCCATTCATCACATGGCCTTCCCAGGCCAGCCAACCAGTGGCCCACGTGAAATTGGAGTCCCAAGGCCAAGGAGAAGGCCCACCTCAGCTGGACGGGCAGGCGAACGGGAGCCCCCAATTTGGGCACCACTAGAATATTTACCCGGCCGCATCAATGTATGCTTGGAATAGGTTTGGTCAGTGTTCTGTCATTTGTAGCCCTCTAGCGACGGATTGGCTATAATGTTTGATGTAGCTTTTTGTGTTTTTGTGTCTTAATAGCGTCAAGCGCCACCTGCCTTCTGAAAAAAGCTCTAGCTTTTTTTAAGATTTGTTTTGGCATTTTTTAGGATTCCTAGAAATGTTTTAGGATTAAATCTTTTCTTTTTAAGCTTTCCAAATCGAGTTTGAGCTATCTCTTGCTCTAGCTCTCTCCTAAACTCGTGCCCGCTCTTTCTTTGGAATTTTCAGAACTTTCGGATCATTTACCAAGAATTCTATCCTGATCAATCGGCTCTCTATCTACCTATCTCTGCCCTCC